ACAAAGTACAGTACAGTACAGTATGAAGAGAGAGAACACTAACCTTGCTTGAGGTGACTTCCGGTGTGGAGGACAGGAAGGCGGGTGGGGAGGTGGTTATTGTTTGGAGGGAGAGTCCTCCTCGCCTACAGGAAGCCACAACCACGTGTCACAGCACGGAAAATGGCCGCGGGTCATGTTTGTCACCCGATGCAGAGTTTGCGAACGGAAGCAAAATTTTGCAAACGGTGCTGTTCGTGAACCAGATTGTTCGTGAACAGAAGCATTCGTGAACCAAGGTACCACTGTATATGTTTCCTCCTCCCCCCATAGGTTTTAATCTGCTTGTTTTATGATTTGAGATTAAAGTAAATTTTGCCAGTTTGTAATCCTGCCTGTGTTTGGTGTTTGCTTGAATATTATTTTAGGAAATCTTAATCTCACTGCAACAAAATGCCCATTTGTTGTGCCCTCATCAACATTTCCATGACATTCTGATAAATTACTACAATATTAGTCACTGATCCGATAATGACCTAAAATCTTAATTTTTTCCTTTCCAGAGCCTTTCTTCTCTATGATGTTGGTGGTCACAGAAATGAATTTCTCCTTAGATTTGCAGGTACAGTAATTGATAACTTTGGATCATGTTTCTTTTGTACCCTTCTTATAATGGTTTTGTTGATGTAGTTGCTGTTTTCCAGCCTTTCCTTTTAATCTCTAGTTTTGACTGTCATAGTCTGTTGAATTTCTTTTTGCAGAATTCCAGTTTCTTGGATGAAAGCTGGCAACTTCCGGTAAGAGGTATTTAATTTCTCTTTCTCAGTGCCTCCTGTTATATAATTAATTATATTCTCCCATCCTGATTTATAACTCATAATATTCTGCCATTCTCTTTTTTACCGATCATGCGAGTCTTAAAATTTTCATGACTGGAATGGAAGGCCAAACTGGCATTTCTTCTTTGGGAGTGGAATTTAATTTTTATTCAGTCTTGTATAGAACTGGTGGCAGGGAGATGGAACTCTTCAGAAATCTGCTTCTTGGGCTTGTTTTTTTAATTTGATAATATGCTTTTAATGTGCTTTCTAAGCTTGCATTTAACCTCAGTTAAAAAAAGCCTGTCTATGAAATTTTAGCCTCAAGTTCATACTTCTCTCCATTGACTATGCTTTTGCCAAAATTTTAAGCAGTTGCCTTTTGAGTATTTCAACTGTATCTAAGAGTTTACAGCTCTGACTTCTGCTGGATCATAGAACTAGGCTACCAGTTTGGTAACTGTTTTTAAATTGTATATGTTATAAACATGTTCATGCCTTTTTGTGGAGAGAGAAGATACTATGCTGGTCTTTGACCGAAATAAAGATTTGATTTGATTTGATTTGATTTGATTTGATTTGATGACTAAAGTAATTTCATACCATCAAATTGGGCCTTAGGCTGACCCAGTGTGATTCTAAACTGTGCCTGATTTAGTGCAATAAATAAGGATAGGGTCTTCTGGATTTGCATAATTATGACTTCTTACAACTCTTATAGCATGGCTAATGGTGAGAGATGCTGGGAACAACATATAGAGGTGCTATAATTGCAGTTGAGTTTGTTCCCCCTCTTAGCTCGCAAGATCAAGGATAATTTAATTCAAGTTGTGAGGATATCAAAGACTGAATCTGCCTTAGAATCCTACTCTCCCTACAATGAATGGTATTGTTTCACCCTATAACTGCAACTCCTGTTTTTTCCTTTGTGAATAAATTGAGATTTCAAGGCCTCAGGGCCCTTCACAGAGTCCCTTTCAAATGCATATATACATAGAAACATGCCTATGAGAAAATGTCTCCCAGTTCACACAAAGATGGAGGGAGGGAGGGAGGAAGCCGATTCAGAGACTTGTAAGATTCTGTTACTATCACTGTGACAATAAAAGTAGTCCTGACCTATATGACATTGGTTTCTTAGTCTGGTCTACCTTGTAGGGTTGACATCATGCTATTTTATGCAAGGTAAGCTATCTAATGTAGGAATTACCTTGCAAGCCAACATATTATTGCTCACATCCCATTTACTAGAAGGTACATAAGGGTTTAAGTAGAGGTCTTAATGGAAGCAAAATGTCCCATTTTTGTCAATGATTGGTTGGCTTGCTAAAGGAGGATTTCTTCACTGCTGGAAACTGACAAATCCTGCTTTCCAGGTGTGCCAGACTTATGAAACTGTCCCTTGCCGGGAACTGGGAATGGTGCTAAGGTAAGATACTTGGCACTTTCATATATGGCTTTACTGACTCTTTGTATAGCAATCATGTTTAAAATTTAAATCAAACCTGAAAGGCAGCACTAAGATCCAGTCAATAAAACAATTGCTGAATTCAGAGATCATGCTAAGCTATTATTTATTTTAACTATGGTTTATTGAACAAACCACAGTATCTGGGTTCACATACAACACTAAGTCATAATAAACCATGGTTTAGAAATCATAATGGCTCACTAAGCCAAACCAACCCAACTGTTAGGTTTTGGCACACAACACTAACTTAGTTCAATTTTACATTATGTATTCTGCTTGACTTCTGAGATTTCACCAGACATTGCTCACAAGCTGCTGAAAAGGGATATAAAGAAAGCTACTATGGGGTAAAAGTTCCACAAATCATGGAAACTGAGGTTGAAATACTTTCTCAGCTGGATATACTTGGGCCAGGTACTATTATATTGGCTTGGCTGTTATGAGGTTGAAGAAACAAGTTTATATTACTGAGTTCCTTGAAAATCAAGTTAAAATGTATTTTTTTAAAAAGACCAAAGATGCTAAACTGTGCATCCATCAGTAAATTCTGTGTTTTTATATAATTGAAGACTATATTCCCGGTTTCTCTTTCTGTTAAAAGCAACTGCTTATTAATCCACTATGCATTGTTCAGCATTTTGTTCTTGTAATTCATCCATCAGATAGATTAGCCCATTGTAAAGCTTGGACACTGTCTAAGAGAAGAAAGCAATTGAGGAAGGAATTTGAAGGAAAAATATATAATGCAGGAAAGGAGTACTTAAAGTGTTTCCTATGTGTAAATTACCTGCTCCAAATTATACTTCTAGACCCCTCCCCAATGTAATTTCACATGTGGTGTTTTGAACTTAGTGGTGGATGAGCTAAACAGAAAAATTATGGGTAGGAAAAGCACTTTCTTCCACCCTTTTCCTTCTCTGCTCAAAATTAATGGTATTTTTAACAATTTGAAGAATATTCAAAAGGATATATAGGTTTTATATCTTTACAACTGAACATCTTTGAGATACATTAGGCTGAGATATCACAATCAGCCAAGTTGTCCAAGGAACTAGAGTTTTTTACTGGGGCATCCTCAATTAGTTCAGTACACTAATCACACTGGCTTTCCACTTCCACTCCATTTCCTTAAAAAACAAACAAACAAACCCTGATATCAAATCTTCATCAGAAGATTTTCAGTAATATGTAACCAGTTTCAGGGTGTTTTGATCAACTCCCATCATGTCTTACCACTAGCTATGTTGGCTGGGATAGATGGAAGTGTAGTTTAAACCATTCTAAGAAAAAATGTCTCTACAAGATCTGGTTTCTTTGCCATGTGTCCACTGTTGTTGATGTACAGGCATTCGGTCTGGTTTGGATTTTCCCCTCTCTCCAAAATTTTATAGCATGTTTCAGTTTAGCAAAATATCCAGGCTTGGAATAAGGATAAGACTTGTATGTTGCTGGACAACCTGCATCAGTGGCCTCTGTGTGGAACTTCTTTGGCCTCTTCTTCTGGGTGTTTGAATTGCGACAAATCAGTGTATTATTTTCTTAGTGTGTTGCCCCAACCTATTTACTATTTTCCCCTTCCCTTCTTTTGTTTGAGTTTGTGACAATTCAGTTCTTCTGAGAGAGTTCTTTTTTTCTTCTTTTTTTTTATATCAGATATTTAGATGGACGGATTTTCATAATAGATGTGCTTCCAAAGAGCCAGGCAGAGGTGGATGAGGTAGTACTAGTTGGAGATGTCATAGATGAGATAAATGGATCTTCACTGAGGAATGCATGCAATGGACAGGTATGGGAGGGAGTAACATCCTGATCTCTGGAGGTGGAGGAGGGAAAGTTGGTGTGTTATCTGCTACTTTGAGATCCTGAAAAGAAATGGAAGATATGGCTGTGTGGTGTTATTATGGGAACTGTACTGAACAAAAACTCTTGGGTTTGACCTGGAGATCAAGATGAGGAGTCGAGTTGGGAGGGATATAGAAAGATTGGGGAAGAAAATGTCTCCGGCTTTTAAAATCCTTTTCATTTAACATATATGTGATTTCTACTTAGGACTATTATTTATGGTTTCAGAAATGTAAATTTATGATATCAGTGGTTTATTTAAGGACTGAAGAATTAATTTTGGCCCAAGGGCTGAAATGATTTTGACCAGACATGGTGGGAGTTGCATGCCAGCATTGAATGGAGCCTCAGAAAATTTTTTAAAAAGCACCACACTACTAGCATACTTATTACCCCTCCAGAAGATCACCTTCTGTGACAGTCTGTACCTGTGATAGAATGTTCAGGTACAACTTTGATGCATAGAGATCATGACGAAGAATGGGTTGCTTACTTGGAACAGTGATGCTTAGTGTGAGTGCACAGATGACCATTCAATCTATCTTATCTTGCCCAGAACAGATGGTTCATTTCTACTGGTATATTAGACACAGCCTGCTTAGATATAGGAACCAAGACTGTTGGTGGGTTTCTACAGTATGTAAAAAGTAAGGGAAAAAAAGACAGGGCACCTGTCAAAGCCAAAGAACACTTTGGAATAATGGTCCTTACCATCACAAAACATAAAGAATAACAATTAGAATGAAGTGTGGATAAAGAACATGTCATTTCTGAATTTTCTTAAAGGAAGAGAAGATAAAAAGGTTACTTGGTTTTGTCTGAAGTAGCTATTACCCTCAAATGGTTATGTACAATCCTATAAAGTAAAAAATAATAGGATCTCTTAAGGTTTATGGTCACAACTTGTTGCAACCTGTATACTAAAAGCCAACTCATTCTTTGACTATATCTGTATGTAGGCAAAACAGCATCTCCCTATTTAGAAACAAAAGTTGTTATCCTGAAAGGACACTCTAAAACAGGCTGACAAGGGACATACATTGAATGAATCCAGAATGCTGACAGATTGGAGGAAGAAAAGTGGTGGGGAAAGGGAGAGGATGAGAAATGTGAAAGAGCTTCCTGGAAGGTGATAGGAACTGAAGCACTCCGCACTACAATATTTTACTGAAGGATCTGCTACTGACCCACATGTTATATTAGAGAGCCAGTTTGATATAGTGGTGAGGGGGCTGGCCTAGAAACCAGGAGATGTGCGTTCTAGGCTTCCCTTAGGCATGAAAGCCGGCTGGGTGACCTTGGGTCAGTCACTGGGTCTCAGCCCAACCCAGCTCACCGGGTTGTTGTGGGAAAAAATAGGAAGCAGGACTATTACTTGTGTTTGCAGACTTGAGTTATATATCAAAAAGGCAGGATAAAATATAATAACATCAACAATCCCCAATGAGGCACTACCTTGACATGGTTGTGGGGCTTGCATGCTCCAAGGAGGATGAGAGCTATGCCAGAGGTTCAACCATACTGAACAGGTCTCATTAGAGGAGCCAGACGAAGAATTCTCTCCCATAAACAGTATGGTGAGATATAATTTACAGAAACCTACACTGGATCGGTTGTTGCCCAGTCAACAAGGATCGCACTAGGTGTTCTAGTTCCTGGACATCTGGTGACAGGACTCAGGACTGCTGGATGAGCAACCAGGGCCAGCAACTGCAGGACAACTGGAAGAAAAGTTGTTTACCCATTGCAAATATACGAAGACTGGAAACAAAGAAACAAAAAAATAGTGATCTGCTATTACAAATCAAGTCCAATGAGAAGAGGATATCTGAAAAGAATGTACCT